TAAATACATGAAAAGAAATTCAACTTCAGTAATAAGTATGATAGTTCAAATAAAACAATAATTAAAGCAAGTGTGCCTGGGTGTGTTTGCCCATCAAATACAAAGACTAACGGGAACGAGAAAACCAAGTGTTTGGTGGTGGAAAGTGCCCGTCCCCACCCACGGACGGCTGAAATGTGAACGGACACAACCATCTGGAAAGAAGTTTAGGGCTATATACCAAGATTTAAAATGTGTACATTTGTCATTAGACCACATTCCAAATCAAAGAATTGATTTATTTTTATTGAGCTAAAATTGACCATGTGAATTGACCATTTTGTAAGTGTACATAAAATTATTTTTATTTTAGTTTTATATTTTAAAAAATAATTTGTTTACATATCCAGGTACTTACATACAAGTATATCTCAGACATACATTTTTTAAAAGTTAGCACGACTTCAATTTTGTATGTTCCCAGTATGATAAAGCGTGTTGGCCACTTTTAGGAGTACGGGTTAGTGGCATCAGGCGGGTTTTCACTGTTGTACAGCCATCACCACCATCCATCTGCTCAGCACCTTTTATCTTCTCTGATAGCTGAACTTGTGTCCCCACGAAACCCCATCTCACTGTTCCTTCCTCCTAACCCCTGGCACCCACCATACTGCTTTCTGTCTCTGTGAATTCAACTTTAGGAAGATAACAAATTAAGAGCAAAGAATATACACAAAAAGATGTATTCTTTCAGTTAAAAAAAGTCTTTCTTAAGGATCTACTCCATGCTAAGTAATAAACAAGACAGATGAGGTTACTCGTCTTATGCATAAAAAAGGAAGACAGTAGACCATAAACAGATGTGCAACCAAAAAAGCAGAAAAAATATAGAACGATACGATAGTGAATTCAAGGGATCCTGTAGATTAGGTACTAAGAAAAAGGCCTCTCAGGCACTGTTTATTATGGGGAACAAATCAGAAACAACTACATGTCTAAGCAGCCTCTCTGCTGAAGGTATAAGGTCTACCTGGCTGCACATCAGCACATAACCATTCACTGCAGAGAGTAAGAGCCTTTCCCAAAGCCAGCTCCATGAATTCACCATGCCTCATATGCAGTATTTTCCTGGAAAGGAAGAGTCTCCAACATTTTGTAGCAGAAAATAATTTAACGGGCCCATGCCAATGCTTCTTTATTTTGCAAAGGAATGTGTAGATGACAGTTGCAAGTGTTTGATGTTCAACCCTCCCCAAGCTGTAAAATAGCAGCAGGGCGATCAAGAGGCTGATCTAAGTCTTCTTCTTGTGGTTTTAGTTTTGTTCTGGCAGGCTGAACAACACTGGGAAAAAATGAGTGTGTGCATGGGAAACATATCCTTCCCTCCTTGACGAACTGACGCGCTGGAGAGCAGCAGGCGCAAGCACAGGGTGGTGGCACTGCTGGTGATATAGCTGGAATACGTGAAAAAATTTAAATAGCATCAAGGGCCTGGCCTACCCTCAGCCCCGGCAGGAAATTCAAGGGTAATGTAACACTTTGCTGTTAAGTAATGCCATTGGAATAAAGGCATGTTCAGGATGACTTTTGGCTTTAACTGGGAATTTCTGTTTCATTTGCTTCCAAAAAGAACTTTTTTATCCTCCCTAAAGTTCTTAACTCGTATTTCAAAAGTCCTTGTCGCTATATAAACATGATATATATACACTGGCCTTGAATTAAAGCTGTATGGCACAGAATATGCTGGAAAATAAGTTCGGGACCTCAGTTTTAGCCATCGGGCTTTACGGAAGGAGCTTTGTATAATGAAAGAGCAGGTTACAGACCTCAATCACCTATTTAGCCACCCAGCCTTGCACGGATTATTTGACCTCTGGGCTTACAATAACACCTACTCAGAGGGTTTTGCAGACATGAAAGGCTGGCACACAGTAGGGCTTCTCCTTCTTTCTATACTTCTTAGCTGGGCCTGTCTTTCCTAACTCAGAGTGGAAAAGCACTAACACAGAAAACCAAAATGTGGCTCTGTCTGAATAACTTGAACAGGATCTGACTGATCCCACCTTTTGGTTTGAAGCCTCCTTTGCTGTCCGGAAAGCTGGGTTTTAGGATGAACTGAATGAGGCCTTCAGCTTCAAAGGGCCTTTCGCTAACTGGAGCAACTCTGACTAACTCAGGAATGGTGTGGGAGACTCTTGACCCACGGGAGAAATTGCCGGAGGATCTGCAGATGTTCAGCCGAGAGAAGACACTGTGGGGACATGAGAGCTGTCTCCAAATATTTGAAGGGTAATGTCATGTGGAAGAGAAATTAGATTTATTCTGCATGACTCTGTAAGTGGAGACAGATTCCAGTTTTATATATAGAAAACCTTTATTAAAAAGTAAGATGGTCAAGAAGTGATGCTATCTTCGGAGGTAGACTGGGTCCCAGCTCTAGAGGGATTCTATCAGAGGACAGCTGTCCACTCCCTGGGAGCTGAACAGGAAATTCTGCAGAGAAAGCGCTGGTGGACACGACCTCCAGGGCTTTTCTTCCAGGTCAGGGAGGCTGCAGCTCAGGTGGGAAGATAAATGCACGGTTTTGCAGCAGAACCTAATAAAGAAGAGCCATGAAAAGGAGGGGCACACACACAGGGGAGGACAGGTTATGCGAACTTCAACCTTCTATAACAAAAGAATGCCACGCCACACTGAAGAGGGGGGGAGGCTTTAACTGCTGCCAATGAAAACATTCATACTTTATTGTATCGTATTTTACGCGTTCATGTAGACACAGGGACCAAGTGAAACTGAACCAAGATCTTAGGCATTGAATTACATTTTAATTTCACCTTCTCCATTCCCTGTGATTTTGACGTTAAGTAATTAAAAATGAACCAGGACCTCTGCCCTGCTCATTTTGGGGGACTTTTGCTTCTCTCTTCACTTGCAAGCCTCTGCAGTTGTTGGTCAACTGCTTTGAACAATTAAACATTAAAGCCGCTGACAGCATAAACAGGAAGCTGGTATTTCGGTGGAAGTTCCCAGGAACTTTATACCACTGACCACGGAAGCCAAGAGAGAAAGGAAATAGGAAAAACAGCGTAAATACCTGGGTGACTAATGACTGCGCACTCCGCGGGCTTTTCTGAACGTATCATGGGAAGGCTCCTGCAGGGGACACACCCTGAAGGCCCAGCGGGAGTGTCCCGCCGCCGCACCTCACCTCGGGGACTGCACTCGCGTGCGTGGCGCGGGCGGCGACCTCCCTGACTCGGCGTTCCTGGGCCTCTCCGGCCTCCGGCTGTTCAGGATTCTAAGGCCTCCGCTCTCCTCGTTCACGCGGAGGGAGAGGCCTAAGAGGATTCAGGATCAAGTGGGCACGTTTGCGCCGCCCTTTCTGAAGAGGCAGCTGGAGCGCGGCTTTGTGCCGGGCCCTTTGTGCGCGCGGCCTCCCGGGCCTCGGGCTCCCAGGCTGCAGGCCGCCGGCGTCCCCGTGCTGGCCACCTGCGCGGAGACTGACAGCGGCCACCGCGCCTGCCCGCGCCACAGGGGCATCTGCTCTGCTCAGCGTGGAGCACTGGCCCGGGCACCGAGCCCCTTGCTTGGCGCTGTCCGCGGGCTGGGGCGCTGAGGCCCGGGATCCTTAGCTCAGCCTGTGTCCCGCTCCTAGGAGACCAAACCATGCAGAAGGGGACAGACAGGGCGGGCCTCTGATCGCTGAGCATGCTGGCGCGGTTGAAAAATACGGTGCAGGTTTACAAAGTATCGCAGTAAAAGTGCATCGCCCTGGACCCCCTCGAGGCCCCCGCCGGCCCTGCGCGGTTGCCCCTGCGCTGCCTCCGCCAGGGTCCCCAGGCCTGCAGTCCTGCTGCCCGCCGTCCGCCCCAGTTCACAAGGCTTCGGCTCTCGGTGGTTTGAACTCTGAGGAAGGCCCGGAAGCCGCGCCTGCCAGACCTGGGGGACGCTCGGTCCTGTCTTCGCTGGGCAGCAGCTCTCACCCCGCTTAAGACCCTGGGGCAAGAGCACTTCCAGAACTGCTTCACACAGCGCCCAGAATGACGGGTATATTCCAAGCCAGAAGGGGTATTTTGAGGAGGATTAATGGCAGTGTGTCTTTTTACTGCAATAAATTTTTAAAATTTTAACAGTTGCTGTATATTTTATATCTCTCTCACGTGTGTTTAAAACGACACTGGAAAATGAACCTGTGCCCACGGGCAAGGACTAATTACTTTGTTCTCTCTTTTCCTCCTCTGTTCCCTTCCTCCCTCTCTTCCGGTCACAGACATTGTACTCGGTTGCCTTACTCGCTCCGGGTCACGCAGTGGACTAGGGACGCAAAACAGGAGGCGCCCGCCTGCAGGGTTCTCCTCGCTGCGTGAGAGCGCAGGGTGCAAGGAGACAGGACACGGGACTCGAGCCAGTCGGTGCTTTCCGTGGACCGGTCTGCAGTGGGTGCTGGGAGGGAGGCAGGGAGGTCCGAGGGAGCCAGGAGACGCCACAGTGGACCGCTGCCTGGACTCTCCCTCGCCTGCACACCCAGCCCTGCACCCACTCACAGCTGCATGCATACCTCCTGCCCATTTTCTCAGGCCTCCAGTCTTCCGGCTAAGCGTCCCGTAGTCATCCCTACTTCTTTTGTGTGATGCCGCATTCAGTTAGGCCAAGTTCATCAGCCCCGAGCGCTACAGGCATCTTGAGACCGAGCCCGGCCATTCTGTACAGAGCCTGGCCCATTGTGTTCCCTAACACTGGTTGAACTGATGAATAATCAGACTTCAGTGAATGAGAAACCGTCCATGCATTTTCTGTTTGCTAAGTGAGGCCAGGACTGGGCCTGCTCCACTCTGGATACCAGCCGGGACTACCTGGGAGGAAATGGATACCGTTTAGAATTTATTGTTTTGTTTCATTCTGCAGCATGGTGATTTAGAAACACTCTTCTGCCAAATAAGCAGCAGTCTGGCGCTGCTCAGAGAGGGTTACCCTGACAAATGAGGTTTGAGCTGCAGCTTTCGAAGAGCTTTAAAGGAGTTTTCACGGGGGCCCCACGCAGACTGCTGTGTTTGAGGAGCATCTAAACATTTTGCAGCTGGGGATGGGGATTAAGCTAAATGGTAACGCCGTGCACCATTTCTCCGCATTCCTTCCAGGCCCTGGGAGGTGGAAGAGGAGCCAGCAGGGGGGAGCTGAGCAAGAATAATTTGCACTAACGAAGGTGGGCTGCGTCCCTTTGGATTCTTTGTTATACTGTGTGACAAGTTTGTTTTTGTTGTTTAACATTGAGGATGTAGATTACCAAAGCATGGCTGGCGCTTAGTCCCCCTTTAACTGCAGGGAATACTTTGCGACCCCCATACACTGTGGTTTTTCCTATATACAAATACCGATGATGACGGTCATATTATAAATTTGGCAGTTTGAGTAACAATAACAACACATAATGAAATAGAACAATTACAACATACTGTAACAAATGGTACTTAAAAGGTATGAACTATTTATTTCTGAAATTTCCCATTTAATATATTCAGACTGTGATCAGCAGTAGTAAACCAAACCACAAACCCCACCCCCAAACTCTTACAGGTTCAGGGGTGGGATTTTGGAAGGTACTGGAGCATGGGGGACATGATAGTTGAATGTGGGGCCCAGACTACAAGGGTGTGACCCGGAAGGGAATCCTTCCTGACCCTCTCTTTGCTCTCTGGCTCCTGGACACTGACCTGGGCAGCTTTCCTCCACCCAGGCCCTTCGACCATGCCCTACAGCTGACTGCGGACTGCAACCATCCCCTCTTCTAAATTACGCGTTTCAGGTGTCTGTCTGTCCCAGTGATGAGGAAAGTGACCAAGACATGGAACTACTCCTTAGTGCCTGAGTTTGGATCCAGCTCCACCATTTCTTTGCTTTATGGTTTGGGAGGCATCCCTTGGCATCTCTGGACCTCAGGTATTTTATTTGTGAATAGAGACGATAATATCTAACTTAACTGTTAAGATTTTTATAAAGTTCTTATATCCATTTAGAATTCTCCTAAGTATAAACTTCAGGTAAATGCTAATGATTGACTGATTAAAATTAAATTTCCCATCTCTAACAGGCTATATTCTCAAGGCAGGCATTAGTGGGGAGTGATCATGAAAGACTGTAGCTTGTGGACCAGTTTTTCTCTGCTGGTTGCCTTTGAGCTCCAGGAAAGCATTCTACACCTTCACTGCTATTTTTCCAGCTTGAAGGGTTCTGTTTTTTGTTTGTTATTTGTATTGGGCATTGAACTCAGGACCTTGCACTTGAAGGGCAGGTGAGCTAAATCCCTGGCCTGAAGGGTTCTGGTTTTAAAAAGCATTTCTTGAGCTCTTCCTCCAAGTTCATGTAGTGATTTCACTGCACTTTATTCTCCAAGAGAGAAGTGGAGCCGCTGTACATTGAGATTCAAAAAACCTGCCTCCAGGCAATTCTCCCGGGACTGGTTTAGCAGCCAGTGGCAGAGGCCTCTGTAGTCTGGAGAACCACACTGTTGTGACCAGTGGGACCTGCTTTCCGTGAATCAGTGAGTAGGATCTTACCTCATTTGCTGTAGCTTAATTTGATCTTAAAAGAATCGGTAGTGGAGTCTCAGAGAAGAAAACTTCTCAGGAGCTCTGTTGGAGGACAGTGTGAAAATTGACATCATTTAAAAGCCACACTGAAACTGCCCTGCCTAGAAGAATCTACTTCTGGAAAACCAGCAGGGGCCTGAGTGTGAGCGTGGGAGTGGGTTCTGGCCCAGGTGTGCCCAATGGGGGTCCGATCCCTTCCACTCTTTCTGGAGTAGGACATCAGCGTGGGCAGTGTTTGCTAGAGGAGACACGGGAATAAATCTGTTCTCAGAATTTCTGACTCTCACTTTGACATAGGAAGCAAATAACATACTTCTCAAATGTTGGCTGTGTTTGGGGACAGATTCTCAATGCCTAGGACAGTGCTTGGGACAAGTGTTCTGGGGGTTTTTGACTTGTGAACCAGCGATTTGCTAATGACCTAAAGGATTCTAAAAAGATGCTTTTAAAGAAACAGGCAGCTTTCCTCCTGGAGTGTGCACCCAGCACTTCTTGGGTGCTGCCTCAGCGCCTCTGGGTGTCCCCTGTCCCTTTGTCAACCGCTGCTGCAGGCTCAGCTTCTTCCCGTGGGTGCGGCTGTTGAGACCTTGCCTCCTGTCTGTGCTTGCACCCCTGCTGGAGCTTCCAGCCTTCTCAGAGCTCCTCTGCACCCCATGGGGTCCAGGCCTTGGTCATCCCAGAAACACTGAGGGAGTAGGTTTTGAGGGCAGATGACCAGTTGAGCCTAAGTCCGCATGCATAAATGCTTTCCTCTCTTCTTCCAGACAGACAGTTGTGAAACATCTCTCCTGCAGTGCCTCAAGCAGCCCAGAAGGATCCAGGAGCCACCACCAGGACCTGTGCCCAAGCTCATCATGCCTTCATGTACTGGGTTTCCCTCCTGCTGGCCTCTGGCTCCTGCTGGACGGCTCCCACCTCCCAGTAAATATTTCCGCTCAGGATCTGCCATCGGGGATGGGGGTGGGGTCTAGGCTGAGACCCAGGCATTTGGGCTATTTTCCTTTTAACTGAATGGAGTGATAGCATCTAGACTATCTTCATACCTGCTCGTTTCAATTTTCTGAATACAAAAAGTCTGCCCTTCTTTCACTGTGACTTTCCATCCAGTTAAGTGTGTGAAACAGTTTACAGGGTGTGTCGGTTTCCTGTCACCCCACTGCAATAAAACACCTAGGGCAATTAATTTATAGGGAGAAAAGTTTTATTTTGGCTCGTGGTTTTGGAGATTCTATTCTACGCAGAGGCAGCCGCCTTGCTTTTAGACCAGTGGCAGGGCACCACAGCATGGTGTGAGCACACGGTGAGCAAATCCAGCCCCTTTGAGGCCGGGAAGAATGAAAGAGGGAAGGAGTGGAGTCCTGCAGTTCCTCTCCAGGCCACACCCCGGTGACCTAAGGACCACCCACTGGGTTCCACCTTTAAGCATCCACGAGCTCCCTGGTGCCTCCAAGCCTTCAGCACGTGGGCTTTGGGGTCTCTCAGCGTCCAAACCACAGCATGGGGTTACCCGTATCTTTGCTTTGCATCCTGTGGACCTTAGTGAGTGTGGTGAAAGATGACATCTCCGTGGGTCACAGGGACCCAGAATGGAGTCTGCAGCTCACATCTGGCAACCGCTCAGGAACTCTGGCCCTGTGCTTTCCACCACTAACTTTAATCTGGCTCTGCTTTATTTTTCCAAGCTATATTTTTAACTTCCTGCTAGGTTTTCACTTGTTCATTTTATCCAGCTCTGTTTATGGATTTGAAGTGTATAAACAAGCAATGACTGATGTGAGTAGAGCTTTAAAATTTTCATAACACATAAATGAGTAGGCCTTTAAAAAAAGTCATACAGCCCAAATGTCCCAGAGTTGCGTATGATACTTTTACTATGTGGAAAAGCTCTTAGAAATGATTAGACAATTACAAGTTTTAAAAAATATTAGCATGAAAGCTTTAACATCATCATCTGGAGACCATTTATTGAATTTTTTAATTTCTAGAAGGCCCCTGGATTCATATATACCTGTGAATTTATGACTACTTTTTTGATAATAAGGAGGCAGGCAAGAAATGGGGAAGTTAAAAATATAACAAAAAATACAGCCTGCCACAAGTCTACAGTTTGATTGTGGGCTGATAATTTCATTTGTGTGTCTCACTCTCCTCCTTTTTTGCCTAAAATATAAGAAGATTGGACTTGGGGTATGGTTCAGTGAATAATGCTTACCTAGCATGTACAGCACCTTGGTGCATTGATCTCCAGCGCCACAAAAATAAATACATAAATGAAATCAAATAAAATATTAAAATGTTGATTTTGGCTTGTGTCAGTATGGGCCACATTATCAAGTTTAGACATGCATAAAATTTTATTTTATTTAGGTTTTTTTTTTGGTACCGGGGATTGAACTTGTGACCTTGCACTTGTGAGGCAGGCAGCAGAACCACTGAGCTAAATCCCCGGCCCATGCATAAAATTTTAAAGGCTAACTGTGGACACACTATTCACAATCACAACAATTTCAAATGTAGTAACAGAAGATTGGTTCCAAACAATAGCTAGACAATCCCAGCTTGAGCTTCTTATACTGGGGATGCAGTATGGCTGTGGAACTGGCCGATACCCAGAAGGTCCTGAGAGCAGGGGAAGGGAGGACTGTTACTGTTCAAGTGTGCCGAGAGCAGGGCTGGAGAGCACTGTAGTCCACCTTGGCCCTTGGCTATGGGTCGCCCAATGGGCTCCTTTCCGGGCCCCCAGAGAAGTGGTGCTTCACAGTTGATGAGAGAGTGGGACACGGATTTAGGCTGCAGGACTCCTCTAGGGTTTGGTTAGGACTCCTGGGAACTAAGCAGCACACTCTGTGCAGCACCCTTCCCCCATCAAGTGATCTAATATCCAGGGGACGTCAGTAGGGGGGTGCAGAGCAAAACTGAGAAGAAGGGCCAGGAGCTCAGCCATGCCTCCCTCTGAGGATGCCTAGAAATAATTGGTAGGGAGGAAGATTTTCAAGGAGGAGAGATCTGTTTTTATTTTTGGTACCTGGAATTAAACTCAGGACCTCGTACTTGTGAGGCAGGCAGCAGAACCACTGAGCTAAATCCCCAGCCCCAAGGAGGAGAGATCTTCATTAATTAGGTACAATCAAGAGTCAGTGTCAGTCTCCCACCAGGAAATAATTTATTACTCTAGCTGCTGGAATGGCTGCTGGAAGATTGCCTTCAGCTGCTAGTTCTCTTTGGACTCAGCTGAGGGGTCATGTCCCCTCTTAGGGACCAGCCACACCAATAGTTTTTACTCCACTGTGTGGCATGGTCAGAGGCATTCCAGGACATCACATTGAAAGTAAAAAATAAAGTTTGGAATCTTGTACCTCTCTACAAAAATGGAAGCTTGAAACTTTATGGGTACATTTGGATTCTGGAAAAAGCATATTACACACCTGGGAATAATGCTTCAATCTGGATATTGTTTATAAGTTCAGAACTTTGAAAGCACTCTAAGAGAAGAAGTGTGCATTGCATCTAGTATGCAATGGGAGTAGCCCTGCCACTTGGGCCATATGAGCTTGCAGACCTGCTGGTATTAGAGGTACTAGTGGTGAGAAAATACATTGATACGGTTTAAGTCTAAAATGTCCCCAAGAGCATCCTGTGTTTAGAAGTAGGGCTTTTAGAAAGGGATTGGATTGTGGGGGTGCTACACTCATTGGTGGATTAATCCATTGATGAGTTCCTAGTTGAATGTGCTGTTAGAAGTTGGGCCCCAGTTGAAAGAAGTGGGTCACTGGGGGGTTTGCTTCATTCTGGCTGTTTCTCATCTCTGCTTCCTGGTGGCCACAGCGTGAGCAGCTTTTCTCCACCATGCCCTTCCACCATAGCGTTTCTGGCTTTAAGCCAGCTAATTATGGACTGAACCCTTTGAAACCATGAGCCACATAAATCTCTCCTTAAGTTGTAGACATCAGGTGTTTTGTACCAGTAACAGGAGAATGAGTAATACAGATACCAAGTGGAATTTTTTACAAGCCCCAGTGTGAAACTCAGACACATAAGATTCTGGAGCAAGTTTACACTATCTGCAGCAGAGAATTCTACAATTTTGAGTAAGAGCTCTGGCATGCCGTGGGGACCTAGTGTTGTCAGAATACCTAATCACGAGCATCAAGTGACCATGTGGCTAAAGCAGCCCACCCTGAGCTGGGATAGGCAATGGAATGCTCTATTGTAAGACTGGACTGGAAATCTGGGATTACATTCAAACCAGACTGGGGCTATAAGCAAGCAGCACAAATCTCCATATCATCCACTGTTATTGCACCAGTACCTCCCCTTCAGCTCACACTTATAGCTGTGTGGAAGATCATTCATGATCAGCTGATTAACAAAGAAGGAGTTCAGATTTGCTTCATGGATGGATCTGCTCTAGATGGGAGTGCAATCTCTGAAAATGCATGCTGACTACACTGAAGTCCCATTCAAGGGTGATCTTGACAGACAGAGGGAAGGGAAGCTTCAGATGGCCCCTGGTCATCTCAGTCACTTTCCCATCACTGAGATACAATACCTAACACCTTCAACTTGAAAGGGGAGAGATTTATTTTGGCTCACAGTTTGTAGAGATTTCAGTCCATAGTCATCTGGCTCCAAGGCAGAAGGGGCATGGTAGAAGGGACTGGGCAGAGGACAGCCAGGAAACAGAGAGTGAAGGGAAGAGCTAGGGATGGAGTTGTATCCTTCCAGACTATGCCCTCAGTGACCCTCCTCTCCTCATCGGACCCTAGCTCCAGTAGCACAGTCAGCTCTGAACTCTCTAGTGGATGAATCCACTGACAAGTACAGCACCCTGGTCATCCAGACACCTTCCACAACACATGAGTCTTTTGGGGACACTTTAGATCTAAACCATAGCATTTCTCTTCATCTACTTTGCATTGAAAAATAAGTGGCCTGGAGTTGTAACATATGCAGACTTGTGAGCAGTGGAAAATGGCTGGAGATGAGCAGGATCTAGAAGAAGAAAGATCGCCAATGTCGGCAGAGCAGCCTTGAATCGAACAGCTGTGGGAGCCCAGATTCAGGGATTCAGACTGCATCGGCCCACCAGCCTGGCCTTCCACTTACCAAAACCTTTCTAGCTACCGCCCCTGCCGAATGCCTAACATTCCAGTGTCAGAGCGATGCTGAGTCCCCAGTACAGCACCATCCCTCAAGGACACCAACCAGAAACCCTGGTGAACTTGCTATATGAGATACCTTCCAATTCGTTTCCACCTGAATGAACACATATTCTGGGTATCGGTTTACATTTTCTGCCCCCAGCTCTTTGGCTAACATCCTTTTCTGAGGGCTTCTAGAGTGTGAATTACACTTCCATGGGAGCCCTACACTATCAGGCAGAGCAAGGAGCTTATTTTTTAGCAGAGGAGTTGTTGGAATGGGCACACAACCATGGGCTGCACTATTGCATGCTTTAGTACTGAGTAGCTGGCAGCCAGAGAGGCAATGAAAGACAGGCTTGTTGAAATCTTAGCTGATTAGCTGGCTTAAAGGTGATTCTTTGTGAGGTTGGAGCACACTGTCCAGCAGGCGGGGTGTATCATAAATCAAAGACTTTTGTATGGGGAGAATACATAAGTCAAGGAACTAAGGGGTAGAAACAAGAATGGTTCTACCAACTATCACTCCCAGTGACTTACTTGAAGGATCTTCAAAACACTGAGCTCTGTAGCTTTTGATGCCCTGGTTCCTAAGAGGGAAATGCTTCTTCCAGGGAACACAGCAATAGCTCCGTTGAACTATACACGTAGCTAATACATTGGTGCTCCTTGAACCAAGGAGCCAATAGGCAAAAAAGAGGAGTCACTATTTTGGAAGGGATAATTGGATTTAATCATTAGGAAGAGGAAGGGGGAAGAGGAAGGGAAAGAAAGAATACAAGCAAAACCTAGATCAGTGATGGCAAACCTTTTAGAGCTTTCAATGATAACAAACATCCTGCTGCAGCACACGTGCCATAGGTTCACCACCACTGACCTAGGTGATCTACTTAGATAGTTCTTGGTACTCACCTCTCCAATTGTAAAACAAAGTAGACTATAGCCTGAGAAGGCAAAATGGCCAGGGCTCACCCTCAGTGATGAGCCACTGGTCTTACCACAAGGAATGCACTGAGATCAGAAGTGAAGCTTGTTTTGTTGAGAATGAGAAAAATCTTCAGCGGGTAATCAAGGGAGGAGAAGATGAGCAGGAGCTGTCACTCTGAAACAAGCTGTAGCACCAGGGATATAATTTTTCACACTAACTTCCCTCTTCTAAGTTACCACCAGGAACAGAGGCTCACTGGTATCTTGGAGGAGATCTGAGAATCTATAAGAAGAGGATGATCCAAGTGCTGCAAGGGGTGGACTGTAGCAGATACTTTGACACAGTGTCCAGATTCCTACTCAGGAGGTTTCCTGTTCAGAAGTTCTTCTTTTCTTTTTTTTTTTTTTGGTACCGGGCATTGAACTCTGGTCCTTGCGGTTGTGCAGCAGGCAGCAAAACCACTGAGCTAAATCCCCAGCCCCAGAAGTTCTTATTTTCAAAACGCTGGGAATGCTGTTAGGAGGGGGTTCCCAGATCTTAACCTTGGAGTTTGCTTCATCTAAAGAATACAGCATATGTGATGTGAAGGTTACTTCTTCTGCCAGCAACAGCATTTGTTGAAAGCTGATTGATATGAAAGGGCGAAGTAGTGTACCTCTTGCCACAGTTTGGAACAACTTTAAAATGCTCCATGTGGATTGGCTGATGTATTTGGTGCCATTGCGTTATATCTGAACTTCCCCCTCTGTATCATCGTATTTTTCCTTTTCCCTTCAGCAGGTACTGATCTGAAGAGTACTCTTTCTCTGGGACCCAAAACAGTCTGTAAAACTTAGGTCATTATCAGATGAGAAAATTTGCAATGACAGGATAGTGAGGTCTATTAATACCAAACTGTTTACTTAGGAGGGTCTTGATGGTTGTTAATGGATTCAGATCAGATATACATATATGTGGGTAAAGTGAACTCTTTGTGAGAATTCCTGAATGCATTCAGTCTGGGAATATCTCACTTCAGATGCCAGATTTCCAACCCTAATTTCGGTTCTTGGTTTGGAAGTTAGCCATTTTGTGAAAGAGAATGTACTTTCAAAGCGCTAAGTAGATGCAAACATTGTTCAGAGTTTGGACACATGGTGAGAAACTTTATGAGAATTTGTGGATTCATGTGTCCATTT